TAAAATTTCAGCCTTTTTTTTTTTTAAAACAGTAGGTATACAATTACAGTAGATAATGAAAGATCCACAACCTTTTATCTTACCCTTTTGCTGAAATGTAATAGCTCAGCTCAAACTAAAAGCTAAACCTCCATTTAGCTTGCTTAAATGCTTAGTTTTGAAATTTTTATGCCTGGACTAAGCATAAAGCAAGGATTTCTTCTTTTAACATCTGATGTTCTTTCAGATGTTTGCAGAACAGGAAAGAAAAGATGCGTAAATTCAGAGTTCGAGATAAAAGTGTAACGTTTCACATATGAGGGCACAAATCAAGACAGCTTGTTCATCTGAAAGCCCACAAGCTCAACTTAAAACACAGTCATCAATCTAGAGTATCTTGTTTCATTTTACACAAACATCCACTTCATTCTCAAGATGCACATAAACTTGTGCAGGCAGATGAAACGTTATAGTATCTGAGTGAATGAAATTCAAAAACAACAAAAAAAAGTAGTAAAGTTTCTCAAGTGTTACAAACTAATTTTACAGACAAAGGAAGTTAATTCAGTATTAAGATAAGTGCAAATGCACACAGGATATGCAAACAGCTTATAAACTCTCACTGTTAACACATCAGTTATCACCACCACTAAAATTCAGAACACCACTTAGAGTGGACCCTTGTATTTAAAAAACTGTATGCCCTTTACAATTCCAATCAATCATACTCCTTCGCACCTTCTGAACAAAAATGCTGCAGAGTTAACTTCAAAAAAAACCCAGCATACACCACATGGGAGACTGAATTCATCCAGTTCTTAAAGCAATATTTCTCTATTTACATTGTGGCAAACGGGCTGAGACAAGCTAAACTCGGCCAGGAGATTTCCTCTCTCCAAAGAAGGAAATAAGTGAAGTCAGGAACATTTTTTTTTTGTAGACTGAAAACAAGCATCCAACGTCAGGCTTCCCTCATGGGCATCCAAAGGAAGCAGCAGACAAAAGACATGACAGCAGAGTCTTCCCAGAAAGGGTAGGGAAGTGGTAAGGAATGCTTACTTAGACAGGAACAAGGAATTCACTGCCTCTTGAATGTCTGACTAAGAACAGATTTCTGGAGGAAGATACTGGAAGACCCACCCATTTGCACTCTGCTTGCAGTGTGGCAAAGCAGTTTCTTGTGAAATTATGTATGGAAATTGATTGGAGGAGACATCTGACTGGTGTTTGACTTTTGTTTGTCAGATTTCCAGTTGTAGGGAAGGACAAGGTCAGAAAAGAATAGGTAATACAAACGTTATGCATCCCCTTATATTAATAAACAGCAAGTTTTATTTTTAATATTTGGCTTAGAGATCCCTGGCCACTGTAAGTATCATTAATAAGAATGTTTCAGGATCATTATGTGAAGAGAAATACTGTCAAAAGTCTGGACTGGATACAAATTTAACTTTGTGAACTGAAAGGTCCATATTCATCCTATTAAAATGCAGTTTATTAAAATATATAAAGTAGAACAGACGGTATAGAGCCGATGTTTTGTGGAAAACGTCAGCTGTACACTAACACTGTAATTTTATATGAGGCCAAACTCATTTACTTAAAATTCCTATGATGCATAGAAAATTCTTTCCTCTCCCATGCTAAACTCTGGTGGACACGTCAGGCTGAAAATAGAATAAATAAGCACGTGAATAGGTTACTTTCACTGCAAGTTTCAAACAGATTGAGTAAGATCAAATGGTCAATTCTCACGCCAAAGAATACTCATCTAAGTTACCATACTCTAATGCACACAAAACCAAACAAAATTTAAACCAGGTTTTGCTGCAACTGAATGGAAAAGAACTGCTCTCAATCTCTCTGAATTTATCAGTAAATTATATGGATCTTCACCTGGCAAAAGAATAAACATGACACTGAAAAACTGGTGTGTATTTCCTTAACAAAGTGACTGGAAAAATGAGTTCAAACGGCTTTGAAAATAACATAAAATCCATTCCTACAGGATTATTTGTATTTGAGTGTCTAGAATTATTCATTTAAAAATCAGTGTTGCAGAAAATTCAAACACTGTCCACATGGGATTTTCACTGTGCTAGAATTAAGTATCTTTCTGGTGAAAGAGCCACTAATAATTTCAAAAAATATAGGTAACTGCTACCTACAGAATTAAAACCACTGTTGCTTCAACCCAGTTCAGCTAGGAAAGATGCACTGATACCTGTACATGAAAATAGTTTGTTTAAAATTTCTTTTTTAAGGACTATCTTTCAAGTGTGTAAATCCTCCTATGATACAGAAAGCACTTCAAAATAGAACTTTGACTAAACAGCGACAAATATTTAAGATGCTTCCTTCTAAATATTAAGTTACTTGCACTTGATCAAGAGCTCGACATTATCTTTTGCTTAGTGCCACAGATTTGTCTGGGACAAGAATCATTTCAGCAAGGGGCTTTTGTATCTAAATTTTGCAGACAGTGCATTATGAGACTGCCAGAGTATCCAAAAAGAAGAAAACAGAACAAGAGGATGTATAGAAGCAAGGTTTTGATAAATTAAGCCTAGAATAGCAAAAGACAGGAAGCAGTGAAATTTGTCTAGTTGTTGATATCAAGTTTTTCCCCATCAGAGTCCCTCAAAATAAAGTGGTGCCCATGTTTTCCTTAAGCCAGCAACTTAAGCATTCAACTGACAGGAAGTATTTCTTGTCAAAGTCAAATACCAAAAACCCTATGTTAAAGATGCTGATGTTACAAAGTCAAGAGACACTCGGAGGTTAGCAAAGCTCATACAACTTTAATTTGTCCTACTTGTGTTGGTAGGAGAAGCCTTCCAGCAATAACTTTTCTATATGAATTCTCAGGTCTCTTCAAAGCAGAAAAAGTCATCAAAATGGAAAATACTTGGGATTTCTTTCCTCCTCCTGGTATCACTAAATGTGTCCAATAACATCATACCTCACTGTACGCTACTGACACCTTATGCTGAACCCAAAACTGGTATTTTTTTTCTTGGGGAGCCTTTCCCAGTTTTAAACATTTTGCTGCATCTCTGGTTCACCAACCCATAGGTGTGTTGTTATAGTGCAGTTAGGTCTATTCAACAAAGGGTATCTGCTTCTGGAAGGACAAATCTCCTTCCCTCCCCTCCCACCCTCTCCCTCCTAAACATCTAACCTCAGAGAACTGCTCAGACCCTTAAACCAGCAGAAAATTGAACTAGCTCAGTACGGACCACAGGAAAACAAATGCTGGCACAATAGAGGAGGCATCAGGAACAGAAAAGGGGTTCCACAACAACTTCACTGTATTGAAAAATCAGACCAAAAAAATGTATTTCTACATTTATTTGAGACATTAAGCACCATTCCTTTTCTTTCTGGAGGAAAAGAACTCGTGCATAAGGAAGCTGAAGGCTAGAAGTTTCACATGTCCATTAACTAGTACAGCACTCCATAGTTGATTTTACAATGTTATATACTATTTTTACACTACTTTATATGCACATAAAATTCCTTTTAATTTCAGCTGCACACACTAAGCTCTCAGCAGTCGGTAAATCGGTCGCAACATGACTAACACCATCAGCAATGAAACTCTTCTATTTGTAGATTTGCTAACAATCCTGGAACAGTATAAGAACTGTCACAGCTCTCTAAATGTGATCACCTCCTTCTCTCGCAATCCTGTCTCATTTTCCAAGCTTTCAAACTCTGCAACTGAGTGATGAACCCATTTTATACTAAACCTGATTCAATCCAAGAGCAATGCTCATGCTATTAGAGTGAAAGAGGCAAGGGGTAAAGCAGGAAATATTAACAAAGCCTGCAAAAATATGAATACTGCAGTGGAAGCAAACCAAGGTTGCACATGCGATCGATTCTTTAATGCCTGACTCTTAACAGTAGCTTTCTTTTAACTGGAAACTTCTGTGCATTTTCATAAGATATTTTTGTAACAAAGAAGCAGAAACATGCTGATCCTTTGAAGGATCATCAGAAGGACAACATTCTTTGGAAACAACATCAACCTTTGCCACTTCAACTGAGCAATGACAGTTGGAATAACAGGCAGTAATCCATAAATCAGCCATCAGAGGGAAACAAATAGCTATAAAACCTGTTAGCAAGAAACAAATGCATGGAAGCAGCAATTTTTGGGCTCAAGCCAAATTTCATCAGGTTTGGGCTTGAAACCTTTACCTCCTTATCTCCTCTTACAATATGCACTTTGTTTATTCCTCCCTTATCCCACTCTGCATTTAAGTGAGATTGCTTCTTTTCTCAAAATATGGGAGTGGCTTCCCTTTTGAGCTTCCAGAAAACTAGCAGTAAAAATTAAGATTCATATCTGCTACTCCGCAGTCTTAAACAGTATTTTTAATAATAAGCAAGAAATAAGTGTACTGAACTTTTTGTGTTTGCAAGGTTAGAAGTGTGCAAGGGGCTTAAGAAGAGAGAAAGTAAAATATAGCATAACAGTCTGTATTCAAAACAAACCTTTGCCACTTAAGCTCCAGAACTTTGATTGCCAGAATCTGTAAATGTAGGACTCAAAACACAATATAAACATTTGTATTGGACAGTAAGACATGAAACATGTTCAAATAATATGTGGTATTGCTATTTTAAGCTATAACATATCTGACTTCTACATTGCCGTTCTAAAAAGAGAAAGCTATCCCTGGAGTTTGGTACAGGCTGTTCAGTATTTTGTACAGTCAATACAGCCACTTAACATTTTTTTTTAATATTCTCTTCCAGCAGATTGAATGTGTTGCTATATAAACTGAAACAAAAGATATAATTTTTAGAAGTTAAAAACTAGTACACAATTACCCAGTTTAACATGTATTCTAAAATTCTTGCTGCATGGTTCTAACAAAAATCATGTTAATGTGGCTATGAATACGTCACCTCCATGGAACAAAGTAATTTTCTCAAAGTATTTTCGAATAGGGGGAAAAAAAAACCTGTGGATGTTGGAACAATGAAACAAAAAAATTTGAGAAACAGTATATGCTTGCTAAACAAGAATTATGTTTATTTAGCTAGTGAATCACCTAGAGGAGTAAATTTTCACTTTCATGATAGCAATCTGTCAGGCTTGCAAACACCCAGAAATAGGAATTAAAGATTATTTTAAATGTAGTTATAAAGGTCATAAAAAGTCTGATTTAGACTGAGGTACATTTACTCAAAACTGAGATTCATTGAGTGGTAGCAAACAAACAGTTCCTCAGACAAATGCACTTTTTTCAGTATACATGTTACAGAAAAAAAATAAAGAAATGTGCATTAACTGGTGGTGTCCACCAAGCTGCATATTAATATTCTCTTACACCAAACAGTTTGAAACAAGGGAAATGTCATTCTAATATAATTTTATGTTACGTTTCATTTGGCTAAACTGCAGCTTAAAGTTGCTTTGCCATATTAAAAGATTACTACAATAATTTTCACATGAACATTTAGACTTGAGTTTTACTCCAGGACTAAATATGGCATGATTTGCTTTTAATCTGTTGAATAGCTAAAAACTGACAATTAAAAAAACTACAACAAAGAAAAAATTAAGTTGAAGCAATGTGAATCTCACATCATTGAACCACTTCTAATGGTTAAATGTTAGTATTTAACAAATTCAAAGAGTTAATGAATCCTTGCATTCGTTCGGTCTCCTGTGCCTTAGCTAGGATGCATAAATACAAAAGACAGCAGATACTGGTAAAAGCTTCAGGACAGAAAGTGCTTGACGAAGGTACAGTTCTCAAGTGTGTTTGGTGAGAGAGTATAAGGGCAGATGCACTGATGAGAACCATTACAAGAAGAGTCAATTTTGTGTTAAAGTGTTCAAAGATGTCACCTTAAGCAGAAAAAAGCTTTAATAACGTCTTCTTAGACATATTAGGCATTTCCAGAGTCTACATCATTAGTGTTGTAATTCTAGCAGGACATCTCCATATAGTTATTGTTTGTTTCTATTTCTCTCCTGAAAAAAACAAAACAAAACAGAAAGGAAAATCACGTTAATACACACAGTTCAACATTATCTGCTTTCCTCTCATTAGAGCAGTTGCATTGCTTGCAACTTCTCTAAGTCAGGCAACAAGCTTTCAAGGAAAAAGCTTCACTTCTTTTTTTTTCCAAGAACATGAAATATTTAGTTCAAGTCAGCCTCTTAAACACAGAAGTATACATCAAACTAAAAGGCAAATATGTTCCAAAAAACAGCTATCAAAAAGAAAATATTTTATAATGTTACTTTTAAATCACTTCCATTAAAATATATTGCTCAAAGCGAACTGAGTAAGCAGACCAAGGGACCTACAAACAAGGCAAGAAAGAGGTACCCTAAATCTTCTGCTCAACTTGTCAAAAAATGCTCTGCATGAATATTTAAATATTATACTGTCCATCCATTATATCTCTGAAAAAGTAAATATAATATTCCCAAGTATCTCACTCAAAACCCACTATAATAAAATGTTTCAACATGCTTAAGATCAAAAGGCAAAGGAACAAATTGGCCCAGCTTCGCCTCCTCTGTACAAACACATTGCTCAAACAGTGAGAAAAATAATTAAGACTTTTTTTTAGAAATTACAGTTAATAACAAAATGCAAAACCAGTGAGGCAGGAATAGCTGGGGAAAAAACCCCACTTGAATGCAAGTTGCAGTCAAGACCATGTTCACTACAAAGCACTGTCAGATGTTGCATTTGGTGTAACGGAACAAAGCATGTAATGTTATCTGTGTAATGCAAACAATTGTAGACATCTTCGTACAGTGAAGGGCTAAAATACTAATCGCACTGTATCTCTATCAGGGACTAACAAATTCTTCCTCTGTATTGCAAGTCTAACAGAGTAAATAACATTTGCAGTGCTTTATCATTATCCTCCTTTTTTTCTACTTTGTTAAAGATAAACATATACTTAGGCATTATGACTACCTCTAGGAAAAAAATAAAAACAGATCAATAAACTGTATCTCGTTGCCTTCATTACATATCTTCTAGACTGTAAAAAGACACTGTAGTTTGACTGTAAGAAACAGAGTTATCTTCCAATAGCATTTCCTTTCTTAATATGTACAACTGAGCACATTATATAAATGTTTTAAAATACCTTCATGGAAGAGAGGTAGGTTCCCTCCCCCATTTAAAAGAACATAAAAACTCATTTCCAGTATTTTTATTATTATTGCATTACACAGCATGATATAAATGGAACATAAACATAGCAGGGAAAGCCAAAATAAACCAGGAGGCATTTGAACAATGATTTCAAAACCACTCTACCTGATACCACGCTGAAACTTTATTATGCTAGAAACTATTTAGGAAGAATGCATATTAGCACATGAACCCAAATATATTCTGCCAAAAAGAACTATAATGGAAGAAGAGAATACATAACATTTATACTGGTTATTAGAATGTAGCTGGTGATCTAGTCCTCTCCAAGACAGACCTCCGAGTTGCTTCAGGAACACCAAAAAAGTAAAGCTTGTGCAGTTCTTGGTCACGATAAGCAGTTCACAGTCCCAGTAGCTCTACGTCTAAGATTGTACATTCTCTAGTGCAGAACTTCAATACATTTAAAGTGAGAGCAGTACTTACAGTATTCTGCCAGAAATCATTTTTTCCTAGTTCAAAGAGAGATGACTAGTATTTGCATAGTAAGATACAGCTTCTAAAATGTGAGATTGATGGTATCAGTCATTAATACAAACTGATACATTAACAGTGCATTCCCAGGCTGAAAACAGATGATCACCAGCCTCATGCCTCACTATGCATGTAAGGCATTCAAAAATAGCCTGCTCATGCACATCTCGGATTATTCCTCTACTATTAGTAGACTTCAACCAAAAGAACGGCACAAAGTGCTGAAAAAACACTACTGTGGTATTAAGTAGTAGCCTATGAAACTGTCATGTTAAATAATGAAATACCAGTATTTTAACAATTTTAAATACTACCTACATGCAAATGGGCAGGAACCAATGATTTTATTTGTAAGTATTACATATGTAACCACCAAGTCAAGCTGTCTGGAAAACATCTCTGCATTGCAAACTGCTGCAGTAAACTGACTGACCTCGTGTTTTGTGTAGCCCCTGAACTCAAAATGCATTTAAGTTCATAAAAATTCAAAGTCTAAAGGGAACGATATCCTAACTACCTGCTTCCAGTGGATGAAATAAAGGAAATAAATTTCAAGTCAAATTTGAATTCTACAGAGAAAGAAGGCTTCAGAACACCACCAGCACACCTTTCCTGTAGTCTCAAAGTTACATATTACTACATTTATATTTAAACACTTACAGCAGACATACAAGCTTGACATTTTTCAATGCGAGCGAACAGTACATTCTTCAGATACTAGTATGAGTGACATTTGGCACTCTGTACAGCAAAACAGAGAGAAAACGTAATTTACTCAAAAGCAAATTACCACACACCCCCAGCTCCCCCCCCCCCAGCTCTAAGTCAGATCCTACTTGCTACCACTGCCTTTTCCTGTCTCAAAAGGTATTCCTCCTTTGGTTTTTTAGGTGGTTTTTGTTTGATCATCTGTTTTTTTTGTATAAACAGTGATTAGAGACAAACTAACAAAGGTCTTTATCCCCAGCAGGTTTCCACCATCAGAGCAGAGGAAGTTTCCAGCATACTGACTAGATTCCACTACATTTCCCTTTCACCCAACATCTCTTACTTCCTATGTTCAAAGGATGAGCAAAACCTTTGCCGCACCTCTTGTTATGCTCTTAGATAAATAGCTTCTCCAGTCAATTTAAGCTCCCTGCCAAAGGCTAGCGTCGCTTCTGAACTCATCAGGGTGAGGTTACCCAGCTTTAGGGGGAGTTTAAGAGCAGGACATGGAAATAAAGTACAATTCCATTTAGCACAATGTGGGAATGCATCAGCTGGTTAAAGGTACCTGTCAGCTGCAGGTATGCAAATAACTTTCTACCCAAACTGACAAAACCAAGTGCAGGTGAATCTAAAAAATGCTCAGGCCTCGGAAACATGCATCAATCCAGTGCAAACAAAAATATGGAATTAACTTGGTCTGAACTGTGAGGCTGATTTACTTCCAAATTTCAGTTCTCTGAATTCAGGGCATTAATCGAATGATCCTGTGCTGAAAAGTAGCTGCAATGTATTATGTCCTCAGATTTAACGAAATCTCTATGCTATCAAAATTTCAAAATTCAAAGCAACAAAAGTATTTCCTGATCTGATTTGAAAGAAACTACCGAGACGCACACAACACTGACTTCTGGAATTTTTTGTCAAAAAAGAAGGGAAATTAAAAAGCCTCATTTTTAGTAGCAAAAATGTAAATGGTAGTCTAATAACAAGCTACTACAGTCCTCAGATGTATTTTTTTTTCCTCAAGATCCCACAAATTGAAGCTCAAGGTGAGGGAAGGCAGACCTGAAAGAAGAACTTTTGGTTTTTTATAGCAGTTGCAAGCATTTCAAAGTGTTCATTTTGGAAGTTATCCACAAGCAAATCGCAGACAGTTCTGACACACACTCACCCCCAGCACAATCAGCTATACTTGAAAAAAAAAAAAACAAACAGAATTTTGCCAAACTTTTGCATCTTACTGCAATGTTTAAAATGTTCATGCCTGAAGCTGTCTGCTTTGCCCCTCTCCCAAGAGGTAGCGTTCTCACAGCAGCTTCAGAAGGGAATGCGTAGCACATCTTAGTTGCTTCACTGCAAACTGCGATTTAATCTTCAGCTTAAAAGCCCTGCTCATCTGCAATGTAAGCTAACATGTCAGACTGCATTCTGTGAAGCGAGGCGCTGGCACATATCTCCTCTGCCAACTCCACTGCGTGGGCAGAAACACCTGGCAGAGGCAGAACAGACAGCTGTAGAGGTGGTGAGAAGCAGCCACAGCAAAGTTCATGAAATCTCATTTACTAATGGCATCAGCCATAATCTGCAGTTTATTGCACCCTGGCGTACCATTACAGCTATGACAGCATAAACATTGACCTTAGTGCTTGAGAGCCACAGTGGAAAACAGATTACTGAGAAAACTGAAAAATGCTAGAAGTAGTTTACTCCACTTATGACAAGGATCTCATTGGCTGTTAACAAACTACATTACTGAAACTTTAAAATTGTGTAATATAAAGGTCCTTTTTAACTTCTTGCTCTTGAATTTCAAAGTAGAGAGGGTAAACCTCCTGAAGACAGAAATTACCTCAAAACCAGATAAAAATATTTAAATACATTTTTCTGAGAAGCACTTCTGGGAATTCTGGGAAGATGGGAGGGAAGGATCAGATCAGAAGCATCTGTAGAAGCCTTACATGGACTTAGAAATTTTTCCTATGGAGATGCCATCCCCTCCCTAAACAGTCATTTCTTCCTATTCCTTATCCCAACATGAAAACTACAAGGCACAAATTAAAAATCAAAGCCAACATAGGAAGTCAAGTGAGGTTTTACAACTCCAGATCAGTTCCTTCTCCTGGTAAGCCTTATGAATTAATACTCATCTGAGACCCTGCTGCTGCAGATCATTTGAACTCCAGACAGTAAATAAGGCTTTCAATCATATAAATATTAAAAGAGTCTGAAAAGCTACAAGACCTAGACTTCTAATTTATTTATTCTTTCTATTAGTCTTGATGACATTTTACTTATTTCAATCTCTGAAACATACTTTGCAATGGTAAAAACATGAACAAGTTACAGTAAAAAGATAAATAAATTTAAATTTGAGCAGATACATGCATTGTTAGTGGAGCATGGACAGACTATATTATCATGGTAACGATAAAGGCAGTAAGAATTTAATCCACATCTGAAATACCACAGCACACTAAATAGCAGGATACAAACATCCAGAAGGCAGAGGTGGGGAAAGAAACGAAAAGATACCATATGATAACACACAATGAGGAAAGGCTCTGCAGAAACCAAGCTTGAACTCCATGTGCCAGAAAAGCCCTTCCAG